ATTCTCATTCTTAATTTGAAGGCTGGTTTTTGTGGGACAAATCGCCACTGACCTTTCACTCTTCCTCCAACGCTCTCCACCATTCCCTTACACATCCCTTTTCTGTGTTATCTTAGATTCTCTCTTCATAAAGCACTTTAGTACGTCTTGTACATCCTGTCGAGTCCGTTTCGATTATGTTTAGTGAATCGTATTAGATAGTATAAAAAAAAATTAACATAAAATTAAAAATGATACTAATAGATGAATGGTTCTACGATTGATTAAAGAAAATAATATTCTTTGATCTTTTAGTAAACAAAAATGTCATTTATATTAATTATCTTATTCATTTAAAACCATCTCTATCATTCACTTTATTTTATATAGTTGATAGTGCAAATGAATTTTTTTACTAAGAAATTAAAAAATATATATGATTTACCTTAATCCACTATAACCATTCACCTATATTTATTATTCATTTTAATTTCACAATAAATTTTTTCCATGGACTAACACGGTGCACCAAATACAATATTTGCACATTAGATTGGATAAAATTCAAAAAGAAAGACAATATACGTAGTTATTTGAACATTATTTTTTTCAATCATATCTAGTTAAAATGATAAAAAGTCTATCAATCACAAATAATCTTGATATTTTTTTTACCAATGTCAAAGTATGGTAACTACCAAAAACTGAGTCATGATGTTTTCTTCACTTAAAGAGTCTTCGACCCCAAACTACAAAATACAACTCTAGTTGTTTGATACATTGTATAATCTCAAACAAAATGTGGAATGCATAATCAATAACCGACTTGAGCAAAAAAGGAATATAAGAACACGTACCTAAACAATTCCTAGAAGGTTTTTTGTCTAGAAATGTTGGATGTCATAAGTATATTCTTTCGTGAGATACCATATAGGATAAGACGAACAACATAGATTTTGGATCAGATAACAGTCACTTTTGGCGGGAGATTTCGCTATCACGATAGAGACTTACGAGACTGCCATTGCAAATTTTTCTTTTGCACATTAGGGCTCCCATCACTCCAATTCATTCAAAAAAGATGGACAAGACAACATATAAATCCACGTGACTTCCACGTGTCTACTCTGAGTGGTGTCACGTACCATGAAGCAATAAGATGAAATATTACAGTTCATCAAAGTCTAGCAGAATCTAATGAAATATTACTTATCAATCATAGTATTTATTTTAATTAGGTGACGCGGGATTAACCCTCATTTGGTAGCAATTTTTTACCAAAAAAATGGATTTTTAACCGTTATTTCACTATTTCAACCGTCATTTTTTACTTCTTTACTCACATATGGAACCCACTTTTCACTTTAACGGTTAAAATATCAATTTTCATAATCACTATCGAACAAGTCCTAAAATACTATTCTTAAAAATTCAAATGCTATTTCAAACTAAATCAAAAAATTTACAGGTCAATGACATTTTTAGAATCTTGATATTTCTAAATAGGATAATATATCACAACCTCGAAGAAACTGACATGGGCTATTGTCATTTTGTTTTATCAAAGATGTCAATTATAATTTTTATGATAATTCAAAAAAGAGAATACTATTTTCATTTAGTGGAGGGCCTTCTCTAGGAATTGTCTAATATGTGTATAGGAACCCTAGCTTTCATCATTTGACTCATTGAATTTTATACCTTGTTGGCCGGCTATGGCTTCCCCACAAAATTGTTATTTTCTAGTTTCAAATCAATTAAGAATGTATGCATTTAGCTAAGATGGGGACACTATATTAAGTTAGGTTCACTTTATTGAAAAAATTACATTGGATAAATTAGTCCTAGTGATATCTTCTTCATGTGATAAGATTAAAATTTTATTTCTTGGAGAGCATGAATTAGTATATTATAAATTAACGAAAAAGTGCTTTTGTTTTAAAAAAAATAAAAATAAATAAATTCTCACTAATTCTTGTAGTTTATACTTGAAAAAGATATTAGAATAATTTGCTAGAAAATCGATTAGTTCAATTAGAAAACACCGAATGAACTTAATCGGGAAAATACAGACAATAGTCTAATCTATCTCTTTTCTTGGGTTTATTTCGATTTAGGGGGTTGGTCCAATTTCAAGGCGGTAGTATCCCTTTGACAAACAAACAAAAAAACGAAGCAAGTTGGTTACATTTGTCAAACGAACAAATGTATTGTCTTTTATTTTTTATTAACTAATAGTGAATAAACATAATTACTGAATTTAGGAAGATAATCAATCCTTCAGTCCCGGATAATCTTCTTTTTGAAAAATGCGGTAGACAGAAATTTTGACTTTAACAAAAAGACATTTTTAAGAAAATTACACTACAGGTTGATTTTTTTACTAATAAAGCTTAACTTTTTCTTACAATTGTTTGGTTTTTTGTAATTAAATTTAAGTTAAGCCGTATAAGAACGAGTTATAAAAAGTACACGATCTCGAGTTTCTAATATAGCAAAATTATCAAACTTACTAGCCAAAAGTTGAGCTTAAGATTTACATAATTGAACAATAATCTTGTTCATTCTTGATCAATGTAGTCGTTGAAATTGAAATTGAAATTGAGAGGGCTTGAAACTCATGAAACCTTATGAAATAATATAGTATGAGAACTTTTCAAATTTGAAAAATATACTATGATACTTAAACTAGTTATTTTATATCTGGTCCAATCATCATAGCTTTAGAAAATGAGGGAATAGTTGATTATTTGGAGTAGAAGATACCTAACTTTTAGAAGAGAGGGATTATAGTCATTTATTTTTTTATTTATTATTATTATTTTTTTTTTTTAAAGTTGTGGCCTTGAGGATATGATGAGAGAATGGTAAGGTGAATTGTCATGTCTTCATATATATAAATAACCCGTATTTTCCTCAAGTGTAATGAGCGCTTCGTGTGGACATTGTTGAATGTTATTCCGATTATTCTAACTTTTGTATTTGACATCATGTCTTCCCCTACATTCTTAACATAAAAATTCAATTTGTTGTTCGTGACCTTCAAGCTTACACAATTTATGGTGACCAACCATCCATGTTTGAACACAAAACTCAACAATTTGGCCTTAATTTTGACTTTTTTTTTAGGGGAAGGTATTTGTTGGACTTTGAATCGATTATAACCTATCATGCACAAATCACAAAGTCATTATTATTACATTACATCATTTGATCTTTGTCTACAACATAAATCAAAGGTGATTGTCAAGCTATTATAAACTGGTGCAAAAGTTTGAATTCATGACTTCTGGATTTTTCTCAAATTACTATCTTCATATTTTTTAAACCTTAATCATGTTAATAAATAACCAAATCCTTAAATTTTAAATGCACAATTACATTAGGAAATCAATAAATACACATTTATCTCCATAATTTCCTTTTTCTCCATTGTCTAGAACAATCCATTTCACGCATATCAACCTCTATTTGGCTTAATTGATTCACCTAAGACACCACAGTTAGTGGTAAAAAGGAATAAAATAATAAAATGAATAAGAAATTTTTCAATTTTATTACAAGAATTCACATATTTATATCCCGCAAGAGAGTAGTGAATGGTCAGAAGACTCAGAACCAGGTTGGCAAATTCCAACCTCCTTTTTGTATTCATTTGTGTATACATTCAACTAGGGGTGGAATTTATTCGTGGCCACTTAACTTTGTACTTAGTGTAAAACTTGTCATTAAACTTTGATTTATTTCAAATTGGACTTACAAATGTATCATTCAGACCCCTCGTTCAGTTTAATATCCATTTCCTAACTGAAAGGTCTATGTATTTTGGTATGTTAAGTCATCAAGTCAACAGAGTTTTTAGTTAAATCATACCACTTGTCACATAGATACGTAGAATGTTCACTTAAAAATGGATGTCAAAGTTAGTCAATGGTCAAAACAAAATATTTTGTAAATTTCGATAATGAGTCTGAAATAAATTAATATTCAGTGACCAAAATAATGCTAGGTACAAAGTTCATGGGAAATGAAATTACTTCAGCCCTCTTTGATATCATTTAAAATCTAGATTTTAATTTAAATCAAAGTCAATAATTAATTTCTACGGAAGTGACGATGTGGTTGACGAAGTTTCTAGATGGTGCCATGTCACCATTCCCTGTAAAAAAAGTCTTCCATCACTCAAAACACTTTTAGAAAAATCTTCAATTGCACACTATTCTTTGAAAAACATCTTCGATTGTTTATTGTGCTTTCATTTTCATAAATTTAGTAGCCAAAATTCAATTATTTTGAAAATTTAGTAAATAATCAAAGACATTTTTTAAAGTATAATGAACAATTGAAGATATTTTTTAAACTATAGTGAGTAATTAAAGACTATTTTTACATTGTAACAATGATGCGGTGCTACTGTCAGGGGCGGAGTCAGGAAATTTGTTCAGTGCGAACATAATTTAACACACGTCAAACATTGAATTTTGGTCATTAACTTAAAAAAAAAATTAAAAATGACATAGTTTAGAATTAAATGTGTTCCTTGCAAGTTTTCATATTTTGACAAGTGAAGTCCAAATCAACCTATACTTAAAATCAAGCAAAATCATAGGATATTGCTTTTAAAAAAATTGTTTTGGGCCTAAAAATTCAATACAGACATATTCCCGCACTCGTCCTAATATGGCTCCGCCCATGGCTACTGCTACCTAAACGTTCGTCAGCAACGTCACCACTTTTCTTTGGGGTTACAAATGAAATTTAAGTTAGTGAGTAACATTTAATGTTTGAATAAGTTCAGTGGTCAAATCTCGACATTTAATAGAAGATATGAATATAAGTTCAGTGATTAATGAAACAATTAACTCACTTGTTTCCCCTTTGTAACAGTTGAGTCACACAATTTATAAAGAATACACGGAGAATACACATAGTGAGGGTGCGGGTGAGCGTGGGTTGTGGGGTTCTTATCATTAATATCATCTCGTGGATTTCAGCGTTTTTTATTATCAGTTTCAAAAAACTGAGGTACACCCGCGCTTAAAAGTAACAATCCGTTGATTATTTTTAAAAATCCACATTTTCCACTTGCCTAGAGAGAGAAAGTTTCAAACTTTTAGACAGCAAGAAAGCAACCCTCATCATCTTTTGAACCAATCGATTCGATTTTATTTTGTTTTTTTGTTTTTTTAAATTTATGTAAATATACTTGGATTGCAAGTTCTATACTCTTCTTTTTCAAATCTCGAGGCAGGTATTAAGGTATAGATTTATCAAGATTTTGTGTATAAAAATCTTGAAATAGAATGTAATTTCTTTTTCTTCAGAAAGTGAAGGACAAAGGGAGGAGGAAAAGGGTCGAATCCTAGGCAAAATTTTGTTTCAAGGCGTGGGTAAAAGCCCAACAGTATAGTTTTTATCGATGCTGTTCCGTTTTCAAGTTTCTGTAAAGAGAAAAGGGGCAAAATAGGTGATCTTTTGAGGGTCTTGTTTTTTTTATATAACGCTCGCTCAAAAAAGATTCACATGCAAGAGAGGAGAGAAATAAATAAATAAATCATGCAGAATATGAAGAAGAAGATAAATAGTAACAATACTGATGGTAACGGTGATGAGAATAATGGTGAAGTTCCAAAGCAGAAGGAGAGACATATTGTTTCTTGGTCTCAAGAGGTTTATTATTATTTTATTTTTTTATTTTTTTTATTTAGAGACGACTTTCATCTATTTTTCTTTTTAAATTATTATGTTCTTGGTTAATTTGACTGGCAGGAGGATGATATTTTGAGAGAGCAGATTAGGGTTCATGGCACTGAAAAGTAAAATCTTGATTGCTCTGTTTTTGTCTGGTGTAATATTATACTTGTTTATAAATATTTTATTTTATTTTATTTTTGGATTGATGATTTTGATTTTGATTTATTTATTTATTTTGCTATATGTGTGCAGTTGGGCAGTCATAGCTTCCAAATTCAACAATAAAACAACCAGGCAATGTAGAAGAAGGTCAGTTATGTAAATATGATGGATTTTAGGCATTGACCTCTGTTATTTTCTACTAACTCTTTTCATCACTGCATTTAGTTGCTTTTTTTCCCCCTTATTTGTGTGTAATTGCACTGTTATGTAGATGGTTCACTTATTTGAATTCTGATTTCAAGAAAGGAGGTTGGTCACCTGAGGAAGACTTGCTCCTATGTGAGGTATATCATTGAAATCCCATCGATGTTTATATTGTCTCAATGCTTAGCAACCTTTGTACAGCCATTGATAGCATGTTTGATAGGGAGTTTTGGATGGTATTATGAAAGATAATAAGCGAATGTTTTGTTCATTTTATTGTTTAGTCCAATCCAATACTGTTTACCGGAATGCATTGAAGTAGTTTTGAAGATATTGTTTGATTATTGCTCACCTTTTCATTTATCTTTTTGATTTGATTATCTTTATTCGTAGCTTCATAGTTAAAACATTCTTTATAAATATGGCGTTGTCGTATAGGAAAAGAAAATTCACCCTAGTTTTGCTAAGCTGTAAAAGTCTATGAGAATTTAGTGGCCACGTTAATCCGGGGCATGATCTTACCCCTAAAGTATTTGCAGGCTCAGAAGATATTCGGCAACAGATGGACTGAGATTGCAAAGGTGGTTTCAGGCAGGTAATTACACAATCGAGAATTTCCTTACATGCTTTGTTGGATGTTGTGAAGAAATAGTTTTCGTAATGTACATGTACTATATATTTTTTCGTCTTGTACAGAACTGATAATGCTGTGAAGAATCGGTTCACGACTTTGTGTAAAAAGAGAGCAAAGCATGAAGCCTTAGTAAAAGAAAACAAAGCTTCATACATCAACCTAAACAACAAAAGGGTTATTTTTCTAAACAACAAAAGGGTTATTTTTCCAAATGGGCTCAATGCAGAGGAAGCATCTGAAAGTGCGGCACCTCTTAAAAAGATGAGGTATATTAATCTAACATGCCTAAACCTTTTGAAAAATGTTACTGAAATCGGAGTTATAACATTCATTTTTTTATGTACTAGGTCCTACATCTTAAATCCTACTGATAGTTGCCACCAGGGAGAAAAACTAGTTACAAACTATCTATTTAGACATCCTTTTGCAGTACTGGCACAAAACTTCCACGGTAATGAGGGTGAATTGCCGACTCACTTGAATGTCAACCATGTAAATGGGGCATCAATTAATGGACGTGAGTTTGATATTTTTTTCTTCGGAGTATAAACTTTTTATATTGTTGTCAGTTCAGCACTTAAAAGCCATTTAGAGTGAAGTGGATGAGTAAACAGGACATTATTTGTTATGCGATCGGCACAGATTTTCAGTGCACTTGAAGTTTAAATTTTAAAATAATGTATATATCATGCTGGATATCCTTATGCAGCTGGAATTGACAAAATTCAAAGAACCTTTCTTAAGGACGATCCAAAGGTACTTGCATTGATGCAGCAAGCAGAATTGCTCAGCTCACTTGCAATCAAAGTTAATTCGGAGAACGCAGATCACAGTCTCGAAAATGCCTGGAACGTAAGAAGAAATATTTTGCTCTTGTTTTGCAACATGTCAAATCATTTCAATATCAGCCATTTTATCAAATTGATCATGGGAAAACCAGAATAGTGAGTAAAATTTCTTTATTGTACATTTTGAGATTAAAGGATCGGATAGCCAAGATAGTCCAAATTTCATTACCATCTCCAAATAGAAATATTTTGCAAAATAGTCAAAATGCAAAGCTTTACAAGATTTAGAGTGTTAGGACAACTCCTGTTTCCATTTTCAGCCCACCTTTGACACTACTGAAGGAATAAAATTGACAGCATATTTATTTTTAAAATAATATTCCCATCCCCAATGGCAACACAACATTTTCGTAACTCAACATACATTGAAAATTGTTGTATCAGGACGAAGCATTAACTACTTAAACATTATCCAGGTTCTGCAACATTTTCTGAAGCAAAACAAAGATAGTGATCTGCTGGCATATAGAGTTTCTGATACTGATTTGCAGCTAGAGAGTTTCAAAGGGTTGATGGAGGATTTGATTAAAAATGAAGTAAGCAAGCCATCTTGGAGGTAATTAAATTAACTAGGCAGACTGAAGTTAGTGTGAGTTGCTCATTTGGATCTGGAATATCTAATTGACAATTGTACAGGCAACCTGATTTGTATGATGAGTCCCCTGCCAGCTCAGAATATAGTACTGGATCAAGTATGCTATGTCATCCTCCAGGTGAAAATCCCGAAGAATGCCAAGCCGAACAATGTACATTTCATCAGGAAACTGGGCGCGAGTTACAGTCAAACCAGTTGGGTGACCAACCGAGTCTTGCTGACGAAAACAGAATGTGTATTGCAGGCACAAATGAAGGTATAAGATTTACCAGTATTCAGTAGTAAGGCTCATTAGGTGAGAAAGTCTTGATTTGTTATTTTAAGCTAATGCCTTACAAAATTTTCTTTTTTCTAATTTTATTTGCAGAGAAAAGCTTGTTATCAACTGATGAAATGAAAGTTAACAATGGAGTTGTAGGTGAATATTCAAATATAGAATTCAGTTCCCCTCTTCAAGTGACTCCACTATTCAGGTCATTGGCAGCGGCAATTCCCAGCCCGAAATTTTCAGAAAGTGTAAGAAACCTAAGCTTTATGATTATTGCAAAATAATTCACATTACATTAGTTTTAGTATTTGCAACATAATTTTAGAATGCTTCAGTAATAATATAAAGTGAACTGGTAGGAGGTTCCACCTGATTACAGATCAATCAAAAACATCAGAATGTCAAGCCACTAGTTGTCGTGGTGGTGGCAGTGGCATTTCTTAACATCTTTGTGCCTTGATTATATATGATTTTTGAATTTTGATATTGCTTTGGTCCATATCTAATATGAAGTTACATCTGTGTTACTGATAATTTATTCAGAATTGTTCCTAGCTTGTCTTACTCTCTTGTTTTATACTTTGGACTATCAGATCCACCACCACAACACTTGAAACGTTTTACCTGGAAGGCCTAACAACTATGTGGTAGATTTGCATTAACCCACTTGTCTCCCTGTATGTTGTAGAAAAAGGCAAAAGAGTTATTGTTTCTTTCCTTCTCGCCACTCTGAGTAGCACTCTTATGTGTTGTCACTGATCAGTCAAAACCTGAAAAAGTTGCTGGGGAATTCAATAAAAAAAAGTTTTATCAGACTAGCTAACTGAGGAGGCAATGAGAAGGAAACAATGTTGAATACTAAATTTAAATAAATAAACCTGTCCCCTCTATCAGCATTGGCTTTTGTAACTTGAGCTATAACTTACGACCTTGCTCTTGAAAACGATTTGAAATGTCCATATGGGCTATGTTTCACTGGAGAGAAGAGAAGTCCTTACACCATTTATCCATTCTTTTTATTTTTCAGTTTCTTGACTTGATCCCTACTCAGCATTCCCCAGTTACTCAAATTTGTATTGAAACTTTTTTATTTCATTTTTCAGAAAATTCTCAATTAGAAAAACATCAAAGATGCAACTTCGCATGTGTAGTTTTCTTTTTTCCCGAGATAGGTTCTTTGTTTTTGCTAGTAAGTTCCCTTAAGGCTGTTTTTCCAGGATAGAAAAAGAAATCATGAACATCTACAAATCACCATATCAGTGAATTAATTTTGTTAAGTTCTGATTTTTCCTGTATTATGCAAACTTTAATTAATCATTTAGATGTTAAAAGATCCTTAAACTGGCCACTGATGGAAGTTACTTATGCTCGAATGTGTTTTTCAACATCATATCTTTCCTTCAAATATTTATTGCATCTTTGGTATGTAGTATCAAATTGTACTGGACATTATAATAGACAAGATTTTCACTTCTTATTTCTTATTTGATACTATCAAATTCTATTCAAGTCACCTTACTAAACATGTCATTAGATAGAATATTTTATGGATGACTGACACATCTATTTTTTATGCATTGTTCAGGAGAAGCACTTCTTAATGAAAACATTTGGGATGGAGTTACCACTCCCAAGTCCAAGCACCAATCCTTCTCAAGCTCCACCTTGCAAAAGGTCCCTCCTCCATTGTCTTTGACCAGTCTTACTTTTTAATCTTACCTACAATATTCTGCAGAATTCAGAATCACCACTACTTATCAGGAGTTTTCAACATATGTAGAGCTTTTTGATTAATATTTTGGAGTTCTTTGTCCTCGGATTGCAGCCATCTCGACCTGAGTTTTTTTAAAAATAGGCTTACGAAGATCTGCTTTGCAATCTAGGGTGGTGCTAAAGTCCATTCCGGTATTTTTTTTCCTTTTGTGAAGATTGATTACTGCCCTTTTGAGAGTTTTCGACCTAATACTCACATTGGTTCCCGTTTGCATTGTTTGTGTGTCATTTTTTTGTTTGTCTTGTCATGGAACTCGGATATGGCTTTCCATTGTTCCCAAAAGTTTTTTTTGGCTAGATAAGCCGATTGTACAGACACTATACTAAAATCCCTTAGTTATTTGGGGTGTAATTATACAATGGCACCTCGCCAACTATACCCTCTGGAGAGATCGGGGAAAAAAAATGGAGACGGTAAAGGGGGACTAACTAGTTGCATTGGACTCCTATTTACCGCACTTTAGGTGTGCAAAGTACTATGTAATAAGTTTTCATGGTGTTTTAGATCTTGATTTATGTATTTCATAGTTAATGGAATGAAGAATTTATACTTATTGTTGTGCAGATATATATATTTCTTGCTCGGTTTATTGTCTGAGAAAGACACATTTCTGACAATTTCAAGAAATCTGAAAGCAAGAAAAAACCATAAACAGAATTCAAAAGCACCAAAAGTAATGAAGCGTGCAGCCTGAATATAAGAGTTCAACAGAAATTTCTACTTACAGATTACTCGACCTATTTTTGTATCGCCCTTTATATATATATTGTAACTTGAACATTCTTCTCTTCACTTCTCTGTATGTCTCTCTTCTGAGATATGTAAATGGTGGGGAGGGAGGGAGGGAGATGATGGAGGATTTTGTGGGGGGTGAAAGGGTATTTAACATGGTCAGCGGTGGATGTTGGAAGACGAGAGTGATGATGATCAAAGCAAAAAGCTAATGGTAAAAGACGGAGGGAACATTGTGCAAAATAAAGTGCGCTGTCACCCTTCAAGATTTGGTTTTTAAATCTACTGAAATGCCTAGTTTGACCTTCAATCTTGAGGAGAAAGTAGTAATTATATCTCGTCATCTGATAATGCCAATAATGCCATGGCCTACCATTTAGGGACCTCATTATCTTGGACAACTTTAAACTAAGGGTGACGATTATGGCTGTCCCTCCCACTTGTACAATTACAATTAATAAAATTTGCAGATTTCTTCTGTAGATAGAGAAAAGATTCGAACTTTGATTTACTAATATCACAAAACATCCGAGTATAACTAGATTTCAAATTTGATAACAAAAAAATAGACATGAAACGATTATGAGTTGAAAGAGAAATTGTGAGACAGATTCTTTAGAGCTTGATTGGGACTGATTTTGAGAATTGATTTTTTGACCGTTAGGAGAGAAGTGGGGTTCACCTGTGAGAGAAGAAGTCAAATATGACGACTGGAATAGTAAAATAACGATCAAAAAGTCAATTTTTTGAAGGAAAAAATTACTCCCAAACAGGCTGTAAATATAATAAATAGCTAAGAACTTGAGCAAAATCATATAAAACATAAAATTCCACTTGCCAATAACAACTAGAAATTAGATGAATGAAAGGACAAAATTTGTTCAATCGTCCCCTCGTTTCAATCGTCCCCCTGGAGAAATATATGCGCACCTAAAAGATCTGTGTGGAAAAATGTGGACTAATGTCCAAGGTTGATTAACAGCAGTGACCTAGGATGGTGTACACCAGACGAACAATTGCAAACACAAAAGCTAAAATTACGGCAATGACAACGAGATTTATACACAGATCTAGAAGGATGTGATTAGTCTAGCTTCTGAAGAACCAAGAAGGGCAACTGATTTTCAAGCATTAACATGTCACATTTTAATGTAGGTCATCTCCATATACATTCCATGGCTATCGAAGATGGGATCATTTGGAGCATAATCTAGAGTTTGATTGACAGTACGTAGTATTTCCAACATAAAACAACCATCCATAAATGTCATTTTCAAGAATTCTTCATCATCATTTTGCCATACAGAATCCGATTGATTGTATGCCAAGCACAAAGTAAAAGCCAGCCTAAAACATAAAGACGTAAATAGACTAAAATTATATGACTAAGATTATAGTCCTCGAAATCTTTAGTCCCGAAACTGTAAAATAAACAAAATGGTTGAAGAGAACAAAATCTCAATAAGCAAATAATGGTCTCTCATCCATCTTTATATGGAAATCTATCTAGTGTCTATATATCTAACCTGTTACATTCTCAAATTCTGATAATACAACCACAAAGCCATATGATCAATATATTATCAGAGGGAAAATAAAAATACTAGTGCATTGTAATTTCATAAATGCTGGTTTTCCTTACATGGGCTTCTTTTTCCGCGGCATCCTCTGCAATTTTCTCCATTTTAAATATATCTGGTAGGATAATCCCGAGAAAACCATGACAACACTTCCCCATTGCTTATACGACAGAGGGTTGCCACTCAGCAGCGAAGAGACCACTATGCTTACAAATTTCCGTGTTGTGGTTATTGTCGTATTAGTCAGTGAACCAAATCGACTAATGGTTAAAAATATGAAGTTTTGGCCAACTGCACCACACAAACAGTAGAGGAGAATGTCCCATGCTGCCTCTGGGTGCTGCTTGCAGAACTGAATTGCCTCAAATCCACTGGCATTTGGCCAACCGAACATGAATATCATATTGTAAATGGAACCCCATAAATTCATTCCTAGCATTATATTCCAAGCGCTCGTCTTTGGGTACCTGAATAATGAAGACAAATTTTATTGGTAACTTTTCAGAATTGTCGCACAAGCACTTTTCATATTCCAGAAAAGATGGCTTTGATGATGGTTAATAGCAAGAATATAGAATATTTTATACCTGTTATGTTTTTGTGCATGCACCAACCATATATTCAAAGCACATATGACAGTTCATAATATATTGACCCCAGAAAACTGTTAGAAGTTAGAAATAGAAGTCTAAATTTTCTGTAGAAGTTTCTTCCTAAGGAATCTATTGAAGTATCATTTTTTGAGTACGTGTACTGGACCAAATTTAAAGTTGCATTTGAAGGGACCAAAGAGTTAACTACATTACCTGGCTGTAATTGAATCCTGAGTTGCATTGGTGAATCCATCAAAAGCAAGGTTCAGAAAACAAAGCCCATATCCAAGTGGAGCATTTGGGTGTGCTAGTTTGCTTATTGTCTTCGCACTAGTCTTGAAAAAAAAAAAAAAGAAAAAGAAAAAGAAAAACACGATTAAGGTTTAAGTTTGAAATCAGAAAGTTCATTTAGCACTCAAAATGCAGGTGATTCTTTATGTTCAGAGAAAAGAAAAAGAAACAATAAAAAAAGAAGGTTGACATTTCCTTTTTTAGTGCTTCCAAAAGATATAATTCCATTAGATCTTTTAACAGGTGTAGCTATGGATACTGGATTGTTAAGTAAGGATTCATGTAGTTGGTCCCAATTAACAGGTATAAGACTCAGGGCTCTGCTTGGAACTTGGAGATAAAAATGAAAAGATAGTACATTATAGATAGACATTGAGAAATAATTGCTCATCGTGTTCATCTTTTAGGCTGCACTTGGCTCAGCAAGTGAGACAAACAGGATCATATTTGCTATTCTACTTTCCTTTTTTCTTTTTAATTTAATTGGAAATTTAGGTTCAAAAGAACAACATTTATCTTCTGTTCATTACTTCATCTCTACAGCTCATAAACATTTTACGGTTCCTGACCAAAAGATTTGGTTCTTTATGAATCACAAGGACTGAGATTCTTAGAAGGTGGAGAGATCGTAATTTAGATAGTCACCTTTGAAAGTGCAAACAAGGATACCCCTCCAGCAACAAGTAATGTACAAAGATACTCCGGAAAAGTATATCTAATTCCATAAACTAGTGTACCCATCAGCATAACTGCAGAAATAAAAAGCTAATTAATAAAAACAGTTACGAGGTTTTCAACTGATCCTAAACTAAATTTCATCATGAACCAAAATCCAGCACTTTAAGAAACATGATTACATCGGACTTTCCCCTTCAAAATTATATAGTTATTACCAAAAGTGGTGTGCCTATTTAATCTAGTATGCTATGTAAATTCTCACTCCGCTCTTTTCAATATTTTAATTTGATGAAAAGCAAAGCTATTTTTGTCTGTGGACATAGGTAACAAAGATTATTTATAATTTCATCAACAAAAGTAAACATGAGAGCTTCTAATTGCAATCAGATTTTAAGAGAGAGTAGTAAAATTTTAAATTAGTTCTCTTATAACTGAGGTGCACTGTATATGAGCATATATCATTTAGGAGCTCTTGAGCATACAATTTAGCAACAAGTAGTCAAAATTCACCTGGAATCATTTTTGAGGATTTTGCCAGCACCTGCACATAATAATGATGAGGTTAGTCTATAAAACCCCTTAGAATATAGAAGTTTCTTCGTGTATTATAGTTTTACATTCAAACTACCTTTTGAATGAACTCAAAAAGTTGAGCGAAATACTACTGGCAAATAGGGCTGTAAATGGATCGGATATGGAGCGAATCTGCCCAAATTCGATCCGATCCATTAAGAAAAATTATCCTATCTGATCCAATCCGATAATCCAATGGATATTTAATTGATAAATCCATATCCGATTTGCTATGTTATCAGATATTCGATCCGATAATCAGATCCGAATTTGAAAAAAATATTTTTCCACCATTTTTTTGGGTAATATGATTTTTTTCCAAAAAATGTTTTAACTATCTTGATGGGCTCACCTATTATATTAGAAGGCCCAAATCAATTTTTTTATCCAAGTAATGCTCCTTTAGTTTCTTTTTAAAGGAGACTCCTCTTGAAATATTTTAATAATCTTTCAATGTAGAATACTAACTTTTTAAATGATACTCCTCTTCCAATATTTTAGTGATCTTTCAATGTGAGATATTAGTCAATTGTCAATTCTAAGTATTACTAGTTTATCTTATTATTTTTATTAAAAATCATAGCCTCAACAATATTATAATCACAAATAATACCAATTTAAACAATGTAAATTATTTTTGGACATATTAATTATTAGTTTTTGATGTTATAAAACAAATTACTATAGTTATTTTTATCTTATTTTAATTAATAAAAAAATTAAATCTGTACGAATATTTCAATTAACAATATTATACTATTATCTCATATTATTTATTATTTGAAAATTATTTGTAAAGCATAATATAAGTTTCAAAATGAAAAAAATATGTTTACTAGATTATGATATAATATATAAAATATATTATATCATTATAATAAATCGGATCGGATTGTTATCGGATCGGATTGACCTATATCCATATTCGCTTCATTTAGTTAATGAATTATCGGATTCGGATCTTAATCGAATTATCGGACTGGGACCCTAAATCCATCTCCCATTAATTTCATCGGATTCAGATCAAAATCCAATCCATTGACAGTCCTACTGGCAAATGAGGGATTATCTCTTGGGCATATCTCCCATCAAACCGTATTGAATTACTCTTCACACGGCTTAAGTCTAAATCCTATTAAACTCTAGTTCCTTTTGTACAAAGACCATGTGTCCTACTCATATGACAGCTTCGCAAGCTTCAAAAGCGTGTTTAAAACTCACAAGGAACAATAGAACATATCACAAGAAGCATTTTTTTTTTTTTTTTAACCAAGAAAAACATAGAAGTGAAAATATTATCAATTATAGGTAAAATAGACGGCAAGAGAATCTCAAACATGCCTGAGCAGGGTAACTAATGTACTTCAATGCTTCAATCCCCATAGCCGGGCCAATGGTGTTTGTGATACCGGCACTCCAATAACTCCACCAAGGAGCACCATCACCACCATTAGACCAAATCTTTATCACTGCAGAAGGATAGCATTGTAATCATAAGCATGCATTTTGATACAAAAATGAGTAAAAAATAAGTATTGTGAAATTATATCGGTAGTCGATTTGAGCACCCCATCAAGGACCTGTCCAACGGATTCAAGCGAACCTTGAGCAGCCGACGCACCAGACTCGAGCGAAGCCGGGAGTTCCTTCACAGTGCGCTGGCGACTTCTCGAATGACGTTTGACTCCTTCCTAAGACCCGATTCGAATTCCCTAAGATCCCGCCTGTATGTCTCCAGCACCGACTCGGATTAGGTCACAAAAATCTTGATCAGACCCCCAAAACTCCACCCACCGCCACCATCACCGGATGAATCAAACAAGCTTTTGGGTGGCGGGTCTATGTGAACTGGATCCTGACCGACATCATCCGATCCTTATTCCTCTGCGGTGGGGATTTGGATTTCGGGTCATGGGGGTTTTCGCGTTTTGGTTTTGGAGAATCTGAATCCTTTGACAGAATGGATTTGAAGAAATTCATAGTGCTGATTAAAAATGAATTGAAGGATCGAGCACTAGAGTTTTGGCCACTGTTAGAAAATCAGGTAAGACCCGAGGGTGGTGGTACCGGCGGGCGATAACTAGGTGGCGGGTGGTTTTGATTTTGGGATGAAGGGATTGGGGAAAATGAAGGAGGAGATGGGTTTTTTTTCCCCCTTTTTAATTGTTTTTTTAATATTAAAATTATAGAGTTACAATTTTACCCTTACCTTATGTGGTCAAAATTATTATATTTTTAATTTTTGAAGTCAACTGACAGTTTTTCGGGTGAAACTGACGGAAACCATTAATACGGACTTGAGCTGCATATTTTTGAAAAATTTGGTACTTACAGCGGCACAAACTAAAGGTTTGGGCAAAACCTGCTAATAAACGAAATGTTTGGTACCTCGACTGCAATTTTCCCTTATTAATTAAGGCCCCATTTGGTACCCATTTTCGTAAAAATGAAAATGAAAAATATAACGGTTATAGGCCCCACACAAAAGATAGAAATTCAAATTTGGTGAGTTGATGTGATAAATAACTGTCATATTTTCCATTTTAATGGGGAAAGAATGGGAAACAAATGAGGCTAAATATATTAAGGTTACAGATCTATACAATCTGATTACAAATTAATGATTTAGTTAGTTACATATTATTTTTCGATCACAAATTAGAATTTTTATATGTTACAAATTATTTTTCGATCACAATTCAAAAATTTTATAGCCCACAATTTGTTCATCGGCCACAAATAAAAAATAAACAAGTCATAATTTATTCATTAGTCACAAATTACAAATATTACAAGTTACAAATTATTAAATTATCGATCACAAAATAACAATTTTTTAAATCATGCATTTTTTCTTGATCACAATTTATCTTTTTTATTGGTCATATATTATTTATTGTAACAGATTAACCAATATAATGGTTATTGTCAACTAAATAATTTGTGACCGCCACCAACATTTACGACCATCATTTCACCACTACCTCCAGCAGCAGCAGCACCACGACCTTCCTACAACAATACCACCACCTCAAACAAATCAACCCATCGCAGAAAACACCACCACATTGTCACCCACGACCACCATACGACACAGGCACCACCACCACTGATATCGACACTACCACCGTAACAATCATCACCACACCCACTACCAATGACAAACACAACCAACAAAAACCGTCCACAAAAATAGTCAGCATCGCCACAACCTCACGAAAATCACCATCACCTCAAGATGTTACTGTGGTGCTAATGGTCACAGTCAATTTAATAATGTGTAACCACCACCACCATTTGTGACCATCGCCGCACAACAATGGGCAAGACCACCACCATGTCCACCATCTCAAACAAACTAACACCCACCACCAAAAACCATCTTAACCACCACCATAATCAATAAAATTGAAAAACCACCATGGCACCACCATGAGAATTACCTCATCGCCAGTTAAACCACAACTAACAACGCCACGACCACCCAAATTCACTGCTCAACCACACTATCGCAAAATAGCATCACACCACAAACACCACCAATTGTAGGGGCCTAGATGACTTTGGCTGTCATCACATACACCACCAATGGTATTGGAATGTGTAAACCGCTCGTTGCTCCACCCTCACAGCATTGGGATCTCTCGGTGCCACTCCACCTCTCAGAATCTTGCAGACAACTCCATGGTCGCCACGCAACAGCATTGAGGGATGCCGCTCTCAGATTTAACACCTCCATCGAAATCTATATACCTTGCACATGCTGAAATCTCACGTCGTCCCACCTTGCACTGCTATTAGATTAACGCCGCTCGTCGCTCCACTTGGCACAAATCTAAATCTCATGATGTGTTACCTCCAACAGTTACTCCGGTGTGTGGTGTTTGGTAAAGGGACATAGATAACAAAGAGATACGAATAGATAATGGAAAGTAGGGCTGGGCAAATCTCCCGAACCGAACCGACCGAACCCGAACCCGAACCGAATCGATTCGAACCCGACGGTTCTTGTCAAATTAAATACCCGAACGGGTATCTGAATTGAGAACCGACGGGTACGGTTCGGTTCTCGGTTCTAGACCAAGAACCGAATAAGAACCGAATCTTTCTAATTTTTTTTTTTATATTGAGTAAATCAAATTATTTTAATTTTAATTTTTTCTAAACAAATTAACAAATTAATGATTTCTAAATCCAAATTTTTGGCCCAATAATTTGTTTCATTTCTAATTTTTTAATTTTTGGCCCAATTACCCATTTTATTGTTTCATTTCTTAGCCAAACAAATCAAATCCACTAAATAACCCTAAGCACCTACAATAAAGTGCATAACGTTGTCTCGATTCTCGCACTCACTCTCGCAGCCTATCTAATATTTTAAAACCTATACAATCGTCGGCCGACACTCTGACCTCCGATCGAAGTCGTGACTTTCCCCGACTGAAGTTTTGATCGTAGCGATCATTTGAACAAGATAGTTTACTAATCTCTGACATTCCAAAACTATTGAATGTATCATTAGTCGTATTTATATAACGTTGTTATAAATGTTAAAAAATTTAATTATAGTACAGAACCGAACCGATCCGAACCGAACCGAATGGAACCGAACCCGAACGGTTCCATAATTATATTTGGACCCGACGGTTCCATTTACTAGATACCCGAAAAGTTTGGTTCGGTTCGGTTCTAAAGAGAACCGAACCGAACCGACCCGCGCCCACCCCTAATGGAAAGGGAAAAATGAATAGGGTCAGGGGTGAGAGATTTAGGGTTTGGCCATTTGGAAGTTCAAATCGGGGTATGGTTGGATAGATTAATTTAATTAATATAAAATGTTTAAATTATTGTCTGATTTTATAAAGAAAAATTTTCATATCTGATTTTTGAATTAGGCATTTTAAAACTATGAGTAGATGTAATTTCCACTTATTTTATGTTAAATCTGGTCGCCAAAATTTATCATTTCAATTTGAAAATTCTGCTAAAATTTGTCATAACAATTTGAAGTGGTATCAACGTAAAAGTCTTTTTGCATAGGACCTTCTAGTAAAATATTGTTCGGTAATGAAAGTTAAATATCCCAGTTACCTTCGAACTTTCCCAAATATTTTTAGTTATCACTGAACTTTAAAAGTTTATTTTGAGTTATGATTAAAATTAACATAATTATATTTAACATGTGACTCATTATTTTGAAAGCTAACGAACATAGTGTGATGGATGAAAAATCACATGTGGCAGTGGCATACTTTTCGAAGTTAATTTATGCACATCAAAAAGTCACAGGTAATATGATATTGCATTTTTTCTAATTTAAAAATGCATGTGAAAAATGAAATATCATCCAATCACTCGAGATATGGTGACATGGCATACATTGACGTCGAAAGCATGTTACGTGTAAAAATCTGTTTGTCATTGTTGAAGATTTGAAAAGATTGTAAAGAATAATCTCCACGATATATTTTTTTTTTTTTTGTAATTGCGTGAGCTTTTACTTAAAAGTTGATTCCTTTCAGAATTATTTATAATCTTATAAATAAGGTTTTCTACTTTGTAATAGAAACAGAAGTTTATTCTGTAAAATTTATAATATTTTAACATGATATTAGAGCGAATTTAATTTCCCATTGAGTTAAACTTGCAAGATTCTGCTCTTTGGCACACAATCTTGTTCGGCTGATCCGGTCAAGTTTCTTATTTTGATTATATCTTTATCTAATCAATATCTTTTCCTTTTTTCTTTAAATATATTTTGTTCATATTCCATCCATCCAAGTTTTTTTTGTTCTTGATTTAATTTGAATCTAAATTTTAGATTAATTCAAATTTTGTTAGATATACGCTATTCTTGTTGCTTCCTTTTTTATGAGAGAGTTGGTTTTCGAGGAAATCGAGAATTAGTTTTGAAACTTTATTAGATGTATTGGTGCTAGAATTATTTTGAAGAAAATTATGATATTTCTCCATCGAATTTATTTCTATCATATATGTTATTTTCAATGTTTTAAAAATCGACCCGGAAAAGAAAAAGGGTCAAGGGTCAAATAGTCGAACCAGGGTCCACCTGGGGTCAAACCGGATATCAAAATTAAATAAATAAATACTCCAACAAATTCTAAAATATTATAACAATAACAAAATTTTAAATTGTAGTATTACGTATTAATTCAAAGTAAATGTAAATCAATATTTGTCAATTAGATTTAATGATTTATTGTCCTATAATTTATTTTAAAACATCAAAAACTAACAATTGTTGCGTCTAAAATAATTTTCTTTGTTAAAATTGAAATTATTGGTGCTTTTGGTGCCAAAATTTGTTTAATGGAAAGAAAAAGTGAATAATTATTAAATATATAAATTGCAAAGGATTTTACAACTTATCCTAAGTTGAAGAAAATATTACATGTCTCTTCTCTTTTAAAAACAACACTTGTACTTATCTTACATTGGAAGTTGGGGAA